GAAGAAGCAATGCCTCTCATAGCAGTCAATATATATATACTATGTTTGACAAGGAATACATTCTAAATATGTTTTTTTGCATATAGAAAATTGTCATACATTTGCAAACAGAAGTATCATTCGGTCTTCAAAGGTCTGTTAGGCAGTTGGATTGGTCTTACTAAGTTAAAAACTTTAATTTAGTACTAGGTCCATGGTTAAAATAATCGAGGCATCCTCGACAAATTGGTTGGTTGAGATCCTATTTCAAGTAGAGAGTCCTACATGAACAAACTTGTATTCACATCGCTTTTTGAAGCTAGGTACTGACACAGAGAGCTCAACTAATGATGGAATGAATCTGGACATTCTAAACCATTCCTGCTCAAACGAATTAAATAAAAGAGGCGTATGACTATTAAATTGACTTAAATAATTATAATCGTACTTTCAAAGTACCGACTGAAAAAACAAAAGATACTCTTCCTGACTTCGGTAGATGGCTGGACTAGCAAGCACCATATCTTTGTCAATACAAAGTGTCCATATTAACAGGCAATGTACATTTTCGTTACGATGTTCTCGTTGGGTTTCCGAGGAAATGTTCTTCCTTTTATTTGTTTTTCCTTATTCAGTTCGTGTCTATGTTAGTTGTCGGTCTCGCGGGCTATGGGTCTTTTTTGTCGAAAGGGGAGGGGGGGGGGTTAAATTAGCGCATATATGTTGTTATTTGTTATCAGTCTCGGTAAATTTCTGGTGGAAATATATCGTTCTTTATTATATCGTCTGTATATTGCCCTATTGGTGATGTAAGTAATGTGGAACTTTTTTTAAATGTTGGTGTCGTTGACTAACGGTCGTACGTGCCTCCGTGCTCGTTGGCGAATTATGGGGGAGGGGCGGATCGTAATGGCCGTGTGTGCGTGTGGGCTTTATCGGTCTATTTGGTTGTCTGTATACTAGGACCATTATTATAGATTTTTATGTTTCTATCTTATCTGAAATATTGTCAAAATTATATAATGACGGAAACTGTACAAACACACCATAATACCACCATATTTTGACAAAAGGACAACGTATAGACTATCGGTATAGTGGTAACGATTTCTGTCAAAAGTGTTGATAATGATGCAGATATTCGTCTCATCTATGGACCTAATTGCTTTGAAAGCAAGGTACACGTCAAGCTGATTCATGGCAGTTGGAGTAAACTGTATGCATATTATGATTGGTCTGCATATAATCATTAAGCACACATTTGTCGTCAAACTGTGCCGATATTGATGGGATACCTTTGACCTTGACAACACGCTCAGTATGACTAGATTGTCTAACCTTGACTCTTTTAATTGTGGACTTGGAATCTGCTCATTTTATTCACAGTCAACCAAATACCAACTGTTCGTGGGATGCCACAAACCAGGTGAGGCGTTTGGATTAATGCCACTTCTCCTCAACGGCACGGAAGGCAGTTCATATACACCCCCTCCCTCCCAGTGAACTATGAACTTTTTCAGTAACTATTGAATTTATTTAACACTTTACTGCATTATGTTCAAATCCACATTCATATCAACCGAGCACTCTTGCAGATCTATGGTAAATCTTGGATACCCTAGCTTGATCAACCTTTAGTTAGTTCACATGGCACAAAGTACTGTAGGGTGTGCTGAACAATTATTTATGGTTGTGAATGTAATGAAATGAGGAAATATCGCATCGGGTTTCAACTAGTTTGGATATGTAAGAGGAAAATCAATAATAAAAAACGTCAGGGTGATGTAGTTGTTCTGTTGCCGATCCCCAACCATGCGATTTGGATTAGATTTGATTTGATTGACCAATATAAAAACATATAGATAACAATTTACATGATAACATGAGAAAATAACATTAGATGGATCTACCTGCTCAGCGGTGCCAGTGCAGCACAATTGTTCTACCATATTGGTATAATATAAAAACAATATCGTTTACACAGCATCGTGCCCCCACCCACCCAAGAGCAAAACCCCTAACCCCCACCCACCCTATTATTTATCAATATTTACATTATTTTGTTTTAAAGGGAGATAGAATTCAACATATGTTTATTTAATAATCTTATGAAATCATTGTAATTTCGGGATGATTTTAAAGTAAAATGTAAAACGTTAAACTGTGATGCCCCATGATATGAAAACATTCTACGACATGATTTAGTATGTGGTTTAGGTAAAGATACATTTCCGATGGAACAAAACGAATATTTGTGATTAACAAAGTGAAAGGAGTCCTTAAAGTAAGGGGCACTGAGGTCATGAAGGATTAAAAAAAACATGGAATTTGTATCTTTTAAACGACGATGGACCAACAATTCCAAATTTAACATCTGGTGAATATTACAATTTGATATGTGTTTTCAAAAGGACTTATCCCAAGAATAATTCTGTCTGCTCTATGTTGTAACTTTTGCAATTGAGTGCTATAAGCTGTTACCTTGAGTCATACACTACATCAGCATAATCAAACATTAGAAGAATAATGGATTGATAATGATAGATCAATTTAAAGTTAGGCTCATTCAAATACTGACAAATCCGGCCCCCAAAATGTATAAGCTTACTAACTTTTGCAGATGTATGTTCTATTTTTTATTCCCATTTCAATTGCTGATCTATAACTCCAAGATATTTTACACTTTCTTGAGGTTTGATGCACTTACCCTGTATAATTAAGTTAAGTGCATTACACTTGTTAAACATGTTACGAGACCCAATCGACAAACTTTCTGTTTGTCATAGTTTAGACTTTATAAGAACACTTCCATTTGTCAGAGACTCCTGCGATTTTGCAGATTGCAGCTTCCATTTACCAATCTCGGAGAAGCATATGTTTATAGCAAATTGCCCTTATTTACGGGTGCGCTCATGCCTTTCCTACCGGGCAAGTATTTAGCACCTTCCTGAAGAGGAGCAATGCAGATAAAATGACGTGTTTAAGGACATAACAAATATGTGCCAAGACTCACATTCACGACCTACTAACTTCAATCAATTTCAATTAACAAAACCACTTAACCATGACACAAATATTCTACTTTCATTACAATCCATGTGACGAAATGTTTCATCACAAAAATGTTGGCAGTTGATATTAGAATGGGTGTTATTATAAGCTTAGTAACAAGCTCTGAGACGAAGGATGATCATAATATTTATGTCATGGCTTTGAATATGAAACTATCCGGCTTTTATAAAAATAAATCTGTCTATATTCCCTTTTTCTTTGTAAGAAGTACACCTTTCCCTTTCAATAACTACCTCTTTTTAACTTGGATAAGCGCTTTTCCCATGTGCCCCATTTTCCATTCCAATAAGTGCCCCTTTTTCTTATGATAAGTGCCCCCATTAAAACGAAGAGCTCCTTCCCCTTCTCATACTTAACCCTTTTTTAAATCTCTAATAAATGTCCCGTATATTGTTTAAATGTGCCTTTTGTCTTTTGCCACATCCCCCCTACACGCCCTATTAAAATCTGATCGGTGCCCCTTTTCTTTCAACAAGTGCATTTTCCTTTTATAAGTGTCCCTTTATATATCTGGTCAGTGTCCCTTTCAGGTGTAGTACATGATCCTTTTCAAATCGGATAATTTTCCTTTTAAAAACGATATGTGACCCTTTTCCTTCCTAATAAGGGAAAAATTTTTTTTTCATGAACTCACCTGTTCACCTCTTTTAAATTTACCATCAAAATCTGATGGGTGCTCCTTTTCTGATGACAAATGTCTATTTACCATTCTCATAAGTGCATATTTGTACATGTAAGTAGTGCCCTATTTTTACCTCTGATAACTATCCTTTGTATTTTGACAAGTGCTCTTTTTTCCTAATAAATGTCTTATCCCTTTCGATAAGTGTACCTTTTTCCTCTCATCATTAAACATGCCCCTAATTTAAAACGACTAGGAGCAATTTCCCCCAAAAGCTGGCTCGTTACGCTCACTCGCATGAATCTTAAAGATTATATGATTATGTTACCAACCAAAGGTATTTTCTGTTTTTCTTCATGAGACTGTGCTTATAATCTCATCAGGATTGGGGTTTTCCTCTTTAAAAGATGTATTTTTTCGCACTGCGACCCTCACAAATATTTCATTTTTCCTCACTCGCTTCGCTCGCTCGCAAAAGAATTTTTGGACATCAGACCCAACTGCAAAGTATGATGCTTAAGCAAAATATTGTATGATGTGTATACACCAATGTATAAACATTTGTTTTTTCCCCCTATTTTTCTTTTCCAGAAAGTGCCTATTGTGTGTTAGTCCCCACCCCCCCCCCCTATGTAGAAGTGGCTCTGCCGCATCTGGATACACCAACTAAAAGACTAAGCAAAACAATAGTGGTGAACGGACAAACATGAAAAGTGTCAACCATCGAGGGGTTTACTTTGCGAGTGGTCACTTATCAGTTGCAGGAAGAAAAAGCCGATCGGTTAAACTGATACGTGGTCATTAATTGCCATAAACTAGATGCCGCTGCCGCAGCTTTGTTCGGTTGTCAGAAGTCGGCAATGAGCTTAATTCACTTGAGTGAAGTTTGCAGGAACAGTCTCTACTTTGTCACTCTATTACAATTCATGAAACCTTAAACAAAGCTCAACTCCGTCTGTCTGTAGCTGTGTCAGCTAAACTAAAAAGTAGTATGTTAGATGCATAATTCACACAGTTCAGATAATGTTACTCACAGTTACTGACCAGGGTTTGTCTCATCAGGTATTCGTCTCATTCTCGGATCTGATTTATATGCAGGCGAGGTACAGGTCAAACTATCAGGTGGCAGTTGGTTTCTACTGTATGATTTGTATAATTGGTTTGACCTATAGTAATGACCAACATATCTTCAACTTTGGTTATATCAAATATTGGTGGGATGTCTATGACTATGGCAGCGCGGCTTGTATGACACAAATAACGAGCTGTAATTACAGATTGCATCAAAAGCTGCACGTTTACTTCAGTGTCAGAGAGATACCAAGCTTTTATCGGATGCCACAAACCAGGTGAGGCGTTTGACTCTTTAGGTCGAAAGGTTTTAGGAAACATGACGTGAACCAAATAAATATACAAACGTTAATGTAGAGGTACACTCATTCTGTTTGACGTTAAAACCTGCTTATAAACAACAAAATGGGGTCCTAATACGAACCTCAGATCTGTTTTTTTTTAAATAAATTTTGCTACAAATAACGGGTTCGAGTCATTGTTATAAACTCCTGAAATATTGGCATTCGATTAGCTACGAAGACTTCACTGTCAGACACTTTTGGGTGACTGACTGACTTTGTTTCTTCTTTGGTAATGAGATACATGAAATGAGCTGTAAAGGGTAGGCCTACATGAGCATTTGTCTACATCAATAACCCACTTCTGGAAATGGTAAAAATTAAACTGATTCAATCTTTGTACAGCACAAATCTACGACCATTCGGTACAATGGTCTAAAAATCAGGCTATTACTCACTGATTTGCTAGAACTTTCTCGATTTGACAACTAATAGTCATTATTTTCCCACTAAAAGACACTTTCAAGCCCCCCCCCCTTTTTTTTTAGAGAAGTTCTAAATTAGTATTATCTTTCAAATGCCGTTGGAATTTAACATTTGTATTTGTTTGCCTTCAAATAGGTAAAAGTACTTTTAAACATAGCCTCGCACCGTCTATTTCTAGGTGTGTTAGTTAAAGTACAGTTCAGTTTGCTATTTGCATAATCTCACATTGAATATTACTAATGACTGACCATGGTTTGTGCCTCCAATCTAACTCCAATGTGACTGAGTTTTGGGCCCGCCCCCCCCCCCCCCCCCACTCAGTGTTATTTAGGGTACGCATATGCTCGTTCCCTCTTTTTGAAAGCACCCCCTATCTGAGGACTGCCAACATTTCCGAACCCCCCTTTCACGGGCTTTTTGCGGGCTTTTCCTGTCTTGGAGACCCCCCTAAATCAGGAAAATGCTCAATGTACCCCCCTAAATTCGGAATAACTCCTCAGAAGTCCAAAGAGATGAGAGAAAAAAGGGGAAAACACCCCCTTTTTAAAGAAATCTCCGGGTGAAAAGTCAAATACACCCCCTTTTTTTACAATTCTCGGGCCGGACTTTGTCGCACGAAAAGTACCCCTTTACCGGACATTTTGGCAACACGCATGTGGTCATTCCAACCCCTGAGGGGGGGGGGGGGGGTTCGGGTATTCGTCTCATCCTCGAATCTGATTTATATGAAGGTGAGGTAAAGGTCAAACTAGCAGGTTTGTTCTGTTTTATTTGGCGTCTGTTTTCGGATTTGTGTTCGGGTCTCATGACCCTTGTTATCAATTTGTCTAAGGACATTCAATGGTTTGGGACATAATTTCAAATAAAGCAAGATTATTTCCATTTTCACTAATATTGGTGGTAGTCATCTATGTGTTGATGTCATCGTAGAGAAGAGATAGGACTGGAACTTCTGCTTGACATTTACTTGCAATACTCTTCGTATCGATGGGCGTGAGGATCCCTGTTACGATTCAATGAATGGAAGGAGTTGTAAAACTCGAACGAATATTTTGCTTTAAGTTCCTTCAACTTTCGCGTCATTCGATCTTTGAAGCCGTCTACTTTTTGGAAAAAGGCGTGATAATGTATGAGACTTCCGCACATTTCACGCTCTTCCACTCCTAACAAACTTGTACTGTTTGCATTTAAAAAGGCCTTTTCTATTTCCCTTTTTTGGTCACTTTCAATTTATATGATGAGTCTGTGTTGCTGTATAGTTTGCTGTTGCTGAAATCTTAAATTGCGTTGAAGAATATAAAGCACGTTTTAGAGTATTAAAATACTGACCAGGGTTTATCTCATCAGGTATTCGTCTCGTACTCGGATCTGATTTATATGCAGGCGAGGTACGGGTCAAACTAGCGGATGGCAGTTGGGTTCTACTGTATGATTTGTATAATTGGTTTGACCTATAGTAATAACCAACATATCTTCAATTTTGGTGATATCAAATTTTGGTGGGACGTCTATGATTATGACAGCGCGGTTAGTATGACACAAATAACGAGCTGTAATTACAGATTGTTACGCAACAAAAGCTGCTCGTTTTATTCAGTGTCAGAGAGATACCAAGCATTTATCGGATGCCACAAAGCAGGTGAGGCGTTTAACTCTTCATGTTGATAGGACGTAGGAAACATGACTTGAACCAAATAACTATACAAACGTTAATTTAAAGATACACTCATTCTGTTTGACGTTATAACATGTTTATAAATCACAAAACGGGGTTCTATTGCAAACAAAAGGTCTGTTTTTTATTAATCTTGCTATTAATATTGGGTTTCAGTCATTGGTATAAACTCCTGAAATATTTGCATTCGATTTGCTGCGAACAAATTTGTTTAACCATCTGCCACCAACTATTATCAACAAATTACAATTTATAAAAGATAACCCTAGTGTCAATCCTTTCGGCAAGATTGTAAAGTACATCTCCACCCGTCCACCCTTTTCTTTTTTATTTTGGCCACGTTGGTGGCAGCCATTTATGTGTTGATGACATCGCAGAGAAGAGATAGGACTGGAACTTGTGCTTGAAATGTTTTTCCAACACTCTTTATATGAACGGGCGTGAGGAGACCTGTTACGATTTAATGACTTTTGAAGCCGTAAACTTAGGAAAAGGGCATGATAATTTACAAGGCTTCTGAACATTTGATACTAATCCATTCCCAACAAACTTTCACTGTTTACATTTTAAATGACCTTTTCTATTTCCTTTTTTGGTCACTTTTAATTTCTATAATAATTGAGTGTTGCTAGATCGTTTACTGTTGTTGAAATCTTATATTGCCGTGAAGATTATGGACCACGTTCTAGAGGATTAAAATAGTTTTCAAATTATAGTAAGGCTTTCTTGACAAAGTAACATGACTTTCATTCATCTAAGTTGTTATCTTTCCATCCTCAACTATGGGATTTATAACAACAACCTCAACAAAGACAAATATCTGTTTTAAATTGAATGACAGGATAAACAAGGCAATTTCATTAAAAGCTATGATTTAGACAAATCACTTTGTCCTAAAAAAAAAAAAGGAAATGTTCATACTCATAATCTTGTCAGTGTGTCACATGACGAAAAATCGATAACTCACGAAAGTTTGCTTTTACGAAGCAAAAAATCGGCGAAACTTCGGAGAGCGTTAAAAAAAAAAATCCATAGGTAATAATAATAATAATAACATTTATAGGGCGCTTTATACAGATGTTTCTAAGCGCACAGGTGGTACTGTCTAACTTTTAATTATTCAACATGTTTAATACCTTAAAATCAACAAAGTAAAATGAAATATTACTAATACAATACAATACAATACAATTGAGTTGAATGGAATTAACTACTTGTGTGCGCCTCCAGTAAACTATAACTGATTAAAAAGGTGGGTTTTGAGAAGGGTTTTGAATGATTCGATGGATGGGGCATTTTGAATATGGGGTGGGAGTTTGTTCCAGAGGGCGGGGGCAATCGATGAAAAGGCACGGTCACCATAACGGGTTTTTGTTCGTGGGCCGTGTATTAATTGCAAGGAGGAAGATGAACGGAGGGATCTGGCAGAAGAGGAGGATCGAAGGGAGACTAGGTCAAGAAGATATTTAGGGGCAAGGTTATGTGTTATTTTGTACGAAAGAAGTAGGATTTTGAAAGTAATGCGAGAATGGACCGGTAGCCAATGAAGTGAGCGAAGAACGGGTGATATAGGTAGGGTTTTCGATTTCGATTTCTTGCGATTGGCAGCAATTGCTATGCAACTATTTGCGAAACACCGGAATTTGAGACAAAGAGACGATTTTGGTTGCATTGTAAATGCAGCTCGAGTTTAGTAGATGACTCACTGTCAGACTGTGTTCAGCTCAAGTAATAAACAGTGAACAGGTAAGAAACTAATAAAGTATGACTTGACTGTCTGTGAATTTAGGAGGTTAATCTGTTACACTTATGATTTCTGATTGGTTGAGATTAACAAAAAAGCATTCATTTTTATGTAAATTCTAAAAACAAGATGAGACCTAGATCTACTCCATGCACACAAGACATGAATATTCACATCGAGATGCTAAGTCTTTATATGTGGATTAGATCTAGATCTTTTTAGGCAAAAGTTAGTTATATAGGGTCTAGGTTTTAAGTGTTAGCCTTACTTATGAGTCTTCTACACTCTTTATTTCTTAGAGTTATTTGCATGTCCTAAATAGTTACTTTTTTGGTCCAGAAGAGTTTTAAACCGTAGAAAAACCACGGACTTGGATCTAAAGTAAGACTCTCTAAGACTTTTGATTCATATCCCTCAACATATTTACAAAAATCAAGTTTAATTTTTAAGGTCAAGTCCCAAAATATATAGTGTTGAAACTTTCTAAACACTCAATCCAGTTAGCGATAAGCTATAAGCCCTCACATATGTATATACCCAGAAGAAAAAATTTCTTTGAACTTTAAATTCTATGATTACCTTTATTAATTTTCAAGACTCTAATTAACTGTTAATCTAGCTTCAATTATACTACAAACTTCAGTTCTAGAAAGAGAGTAACCTTAGAGCTAGGAATACGTTTCGTTTCTCAGAGACCTTTACCAGATTATATCAAACGTTATTTCTACCGCATGATCGTATCGTTAATTTATCACATGTCAAAATGTCACATCGAAATAGAGTAGATTAATATGTATGTTGCTTTATCGATGAGTTGAGGGCTTATGTTCCATATTTATTATGGTTCAATCTTTGAGGGTTATGGTCGATAAATAAATTCTATCTGGGCTTCTTCTTCGGGAAGTGCCAAGTGTATTCGACCCAAGGAAACTTTAGGCTACACATCTACTTAAAAGGCATGTGACATGGTTTTCATCTAGTATTAAATAAAATAAGTTGAAAACAGGATGTAAGATTTGCATAGAGGATGTATGATACACATAACCCTAACTCCTGCCTTTCCACTGGATTTCAATTGCACAGTAATTAGTTAAATATAAGTTTCTGCTCCTAACATTTAAAGCTTTTTAACATTTTCTAGCTCCGACCAGCTTCACTGCTTTATTTTCTCCCGCTTTGTTCACTTCTTCCCTTAGACTAACATCCACACCCCATGCACGCCTTGAACAGACGCCAGGACCACCCCCATGCACTCGATATGGAGAGCACGCCTTCTCTTCGAATCGCACCAAAACTCGGGAATAATCTACCTACTGACGTCCGTGATGCCAGTTCCCTTAACCCGTTTCACTGTACAGTGAATTAAATACTTTCTCGTCCGACTTTACCACTATGTGCAAAGTACTCTAATATTAAAGCTCGATTATATTAATGGTATTAATGTAGCTTTATTGTAAAGTAGGTTGTAGATCTTTATTATGATTTCATTATTTCTTAAGTATATTTGTTGTATCTTAGAACAAAACTAATTATGATAGTTATTTATATTATCATTATGATATGTAGTAGTATCAGTAGTAGTAGTAGTAGTAGTAGTAGTAGTAGTAGTAGTAGTAGGAGTAGTAGTAGTAGTACTAGTATGTACAGCGCAATAAAACTCAGTATGAACCGCGCCATATAAGTATCGCGTAGTAATGCTCTTGTAATAAAGTTTACTTCCATTGAACTCGAACAGTTCTGATCATTCTTTTACATTTGAAGAGAAATAGGATAATTAGTTAATTAGTTATGTTTACAATCCTACATTAGCTATTTTGTTAATGCTGTCCGCCAGGTTTTCGAATTCAGATTAAAAAAAAACATCTGTGAAATCAAAGGGTGAAATGCAGGGTACTGCTTTGACGAACAAATTATGTTTGTGTATATAACTAAATTTAACAAAAACGGCAATCATTATGCAACTAGAGGATCTGAAATGACATGGGTCTTCAAGACAATTTCGAGGAGCGTACATCAGTATCAAGATTGTATGATTCGATAGCTTTAACCATTACCGGAAATTGGATGCATGACATAAATTGTCTTTTACAATCCATGTAATTCTTATTAAAAAAGGGACAACTTTGGCTCAAGTGTTCAAGGTAAATTATAAGATACTCACTTGTGAGAAAAAAAAATGTATTCCAGTCACATATTTTAACAGACAAAGAGCTAAACATTTTTTTTCTTCTGTCCTTTTTCCATGCACAACCACTTTTGATGTAAAGTTCACTCAAAGTGTTTCGTTGTGATATAAAGTCTTAACAAGCCATCGATTACTCAACATAGCCACTATTGCCTATTGATGTGGTGCTAAGAACACACATTTTGGGGCTTAATACATGGATTTTTGATTTTTTTTTTTAGTTATCATTATCCACCGGTTATTTGAGTAAATGGAACGTATGGAATGTATAATTTGTAACGAAGTCGATACTAACCATGGCCCAAAAAATGATGGTGATTTCTGATCGTAATCAATGTTAAGTATACGCTTGTACAAAATACTATTGGACCATCTTCGACGTGTTGTCTGGTTTTCGCGTGTTTGTTCCCGGAGAGTCTCCGGACGTGCGGGTTCGGCTGCCTATGCCAGATATTTGTGTTTCTTTTGTCGGGGCTTGTTCGGTGCGCAATATTTTATGTTGTTCGTTGCTAGGTCGGACAGACCTTGAGTTTATTCGACCTGGCAATGGCAGATTGATTTACGCTGAATGGGCCTTGGCGGGGGAGACCCGGGGATCTGGCGCGGGCGGGTTGGTTCGCGCGTCTCTGGTCTCTTTGGGAGCGGACATGTGCAGAATTTGATGCACGTTGTTGATGGTCCATTATTAATTTATAATGGGAATCTCTTTCAACAAGCCTAGCTTTTCTGAGATTCCCTCCCCCCCCCCCCTTCAATTAAATCAAGCAATATAAAATATTTTGTCTAATTCTCAAACGTAAATGTACTCTGTAAACTTATTTGATTACGAACATACTTGTCAGTATTTCGTTACTTTTATAATTCAATTGTTCTATTATATACTGTATTACTGTATGGTATATATATGTCATTTAGTTTGTAGATATTTGAGTGGAAAATAAATAAAATAAAATCAATCAAAAATGTTGTAATAATTACATTTTTAGTAAAGTGTAAGAAAAAGTCAGATATAACGATGAAACATAATAAAGTTTTACATTTTAAACTCATAATTGTGTTAAAGTCTGATGATATCTCTGAACGTTTCTATAAAAGGCTATGATTGAATTGGTGAATGTATTTTGAAAATAGGTGACGTCATTTGTTCTAAGGGAATGTATTGATACCCAATACCAAAATACAACCACGCCTACCATGTTCTAAAGAACGTCTGTAAATCATCCCCAAGATTGACCCATATCTCGAGCCCATGTTTCCAGATTGCTTTGAAGCAAAGGAGCAAGTCGATAAGGGTGGAAAGTTGGCTCGACTTGTGGTATATGTTAACTAATATCGGTTTAAAATTAAACTCAGATACATTCTGTGTCAAATCACACCCTGAAAAAATTAGTGAAAATTAACGAATTAACAGGAAAGTTTTGTTTGAGAAATGAAGTAAAAACTTGCAACGTTTTCGATCAAGTAAAAACGAAAATTAAATGTAAAGACACAAATGATTCAAAATATTATATTGCAATTAACTAAGCTTACATTTCCATTTTATATCTACAAATTTATTTTTATTCTGCCTTTCTTGCCGAATTTCTGTCTTATCTTCTTCCTACTCTAGAATTGAAGCATATGGTTGTCTTTTTTTTTATTTTGTTGAAGACTTGGTTTGAACAAAACGTTGATATTGCTCAGCATATTGTGATTGTCAAGTGTTCAGGAATCGTAAACAGAATAACAAAAATAAAGGAGTTGATTACTTTGTTGACACGATCTTAAAATGCAATATCAATTGAGAGGTTTCGATATTGGAGTATTGATATTTTAATTTAAATTATATTTACCTTAGTTCTGATTTTTTCGAAATAAATTTCAATCTCTTGATGCGCTTTTCAAGTTTTAATTCCATGCTGATATGGATCTTCTAAAATATGAATGCCAAAACATTTTGTCAGGATATGAAAGTTCCATTATGCAATGTTTTTTATTTGTGTAATAGTGAATTTTCTTTTTGAGCAGTTCTGTCTGTTTAGCTACTCTTTACATGTCATGTTTCCCCGCTACACACTCATACTAACATGTTTGCACTCCCACAGCCTATTTCTTTTACAGCCATTCCAAGCTTTGAATGAATTATTGCTTGTCTTCTCACTCTTCGTTGTTTTGTTCATAATAATATTAATCATCTTCATAACCACGATATATCTTTTTAATAATAATGAACATAACCTTCTTGACTTCAATTTACTTCTTAGCAACGAAACCCTGATCTACATATTTAAAATGATGACAGGGTGGCCAGTTTTTAAGGACACGTGCTAGTTATACTTATGTCTATACACCCATATTACGCATACATTTATTTACATTAAATGTGATGGCGTAAATTGTCAAAATCACTTTATTCTGTTAATTTGTTTGTTCTTTCAGATTCAATAAAATGTGGTGCTCCCTATATTCCTCATCATGCCATGGTGGAAGATCTCCGTCTGAATTACAACCACGGTGACAGTGTGAATGTAACGTGTAATACCAGTGATGCTTTCTTCCCCCTTCAATGTCATGACAAAGGATTGTGGAGCGGGCCACTTGCGTCTTGTCCAGAACCAAAGAGTAAGGTTTCCTCTTAGTTCCTGTAAAAATATGATATAAGCTGATTCTGTAAAAATATGATATAAGCTGATTCTGCTTCCAAAGGAAGTATTTCAGAACTTAATCATTAATCATTTAGTTCCATTTTTAGAACATCAAAATCACAGCGTTTCATAACTTTTCATCAAATCCCTTTTATTGATGAATATAAATCAGATCTGCAATATTGTTCCATATGATCATAATATGATCCGCAAGTAATGTAGAATTTAATCATTATCTCTTTTTCTTTTTCACTACGTTTATGTTTTGCTATCATACACTCTAAAAGGCCCAAATTCCCTTTTAAATGTACAATCGACATTGTCAATATTTTGAGTAATACACAATCGCTCTAGAATAGTCTTAAAATCATTCGTGAGAGAGAGTCAAATCTCCTTTTCTATACCCTTTTTGTTTATTGTAATTACACATTGTTTTTTATAAAAAAACTAATACAATATTCATATTCTAAAAATTCCTCAAATATTCATCACCTCTTTTCATTTGTCCTCGCAGGTGCTCCATCAGTTGACTCTTGCACTGCCCCAGCAGTGCCAATTGATTCAACCATTCAGAATCTTCGTCTCTCATACAAAAACGGTGACAGGATGAACGTGACATGTAACGAGGGTCCTGAGTGGTTTCCCGTGACATGTGAGGATGGAACATGGACAGGCCAAAACATAGTGTGCCCTGTCCCTGCCATAGGTATGCCAAACATACATTGCAATGAACATAACGGAATAAAAGCTACCGGTCGTATATAGATTTTGTTCGGATAAAGATATAAATGTTTCGTGATATAGGGCTTCATTAATTTGAATTTTAATCGAAGGGTTGAGGAATCGACTTCCATCCCGCTACTGATGTCATTTAAACACATCCATGCACATTTGCCTTTCTCTGAACATGTATATATAAGTGCGTGACAATTAAAAGAAGAAGAAGACTCAATTATTATTTATTTTTTAACAACATTGATTAATAATAAATCGGTATTCAAATGCTTACACTAAATTTACACGAGAATGCAAGGTGATGTGACAATTTTATTTAACATTTCATATAAAGATTTAAAGCGCCCTTAAAAAAAGCTGACGCTGTCGTGTCTGTGGGGGGGGGGGGGGGGGTGGTGGGTGGGGTGTAGGATAGTTTGTTTAACCCATGATTAGAGTCGCTTCGTTTTCGATCGAAGTGTATTTTAATTCTTAGTAACCAAAGATGTGCGCTTTATTGGCAACTCATAGCGCTTGCAAGAGGCTTCCTTGCATATTTACTCTGCTGTAATGAATGTAAAGCCTTCGAAAAAGTTTTTGATATTGAATATTCTCCAAATTTCTTAATTTTGTTTTAAATACTTCATTTGCAGAATGCAATCAACCAATCATCTCTGCCGACGCATACATTGGAAATGTTAAGCCTCGCTACAAGAATGGTGACCAAGTGAACATCACATGTAACGTCGATTCTGTTTCTTTAATTTGGGAATGTCAGCGAGATGGCTTGTGGCGTGGGCCTCCCTTCGAATGTTCCCGTACTCATCCACCGCCTGAAGGTAATTATGCGCTTAACATATCCGATAAAACGGGATAATGTGGTACCACATTATGACACGATCTGGTATAATATCACATCATATACCAAATTATAAAGTAAACTATTTATCCTCTGGATGTATAGTACTACTACATTTAGGCGAGGCGTCAAAAATAAATATACCAGCCAGCGGCAGCTAACTGCACTTGTACGTCCTGGCTGCATTTTTTAAATTAGCTCAGCCGGCTACCGCTGGCGGTAGGACCCTCAATTAACTCATGATGTCATCATAATGGTCTCTGAACAAAAGCATGCGCCGGCTGCCGCCTTTCGAATGGAAACCGAGCCTCAGATCCCAGCCTGGCGCAAGCCGGCTGGGCTAATAAGTGAAAAATAATTGCCCCAGCCAGGCTTCGGCCGTAATTGCAGCCTCGATGCGCCAATACGTGAGGCGGCAGCCTGCTGGTATCGATATTTTTGACGCCTCGCCTTAGTAAGTGCGCCTTTTACATGTAACATCAAGCTCTGTGACCAAAATGTCTCTCCACCTGAACAAATGAATAGGTAGACTTCCCGCAAGCTCTTTACTACAATACATTTCTTATTTCAAAGATCAAATAAAGCATGATGAATTACAAGACCCAAAAGCATATTTACATGAGATGTAAAAGAAACGAAAAGTAAAAAACAAAAAAAGGATACTGCTTTACAAATTAAGATCATCTCTTTGCATATTATGAATATTTGTGGAACAATTTACCTAATTAAGCTTATATTAATACCGTCTATAGTTTACCACCCGGACTATTCTATACATACAATTTTTTTCATACCCACCTTGTTTTTTTATAATAATTGTTATCTTTAAACAAATATATATTTTGTGTACGGGGTCGCTAAAGTTATGTACGGATTTTGCTGCATGTTCTGTACAAAAATAAAGATATCTGAAAAAAAATACTGAAACAAATGTAAATGGAAATATGAGAACAAATACAAATGCAAATAATAAATGAAAATAAGAAAACAAAAATAAAATTACCAGTTTGAATATGAATACGAGTACAAATGCAAATGCTAAATATGAATACAAAAATATAAATCAATAAAAAAAATAAATGCGATCTTTGCTGATAACCAAATTACTTGTATTTTCAGGGCAACAACCATCATCCCCGGGGCGCTTTACAAGACCTAATACTGATCACGATGGAAGAGATTACTTTATCACCGGCCTTCTGGTTACAGCTGTCATCTTATTCATCCTTGTTCTGATGTGTATGGCTGTGTTTGTTATCTTCATGAGAAAGTAAGTAAATGTGTTCATTATTGTTTTCTATTTATGCAAAATGTCTTTTATTGTATCAAGGCCGTGAATAAAAAAAAATGTACCACGCGTTTCGTCACAACCAGGCAATGGGATGGTTTCATGATATCATTACTTTCATTATACATTATACATATTGAAGACAAACAAAAGTATTTAACCACTAATGAACTCCGCTGTAAGAAAAGTCTCCACTATATTTGTTCGGTCAGATAATTTGAGAAATATTGTCGAAATCTTAAAGCAGTTTCTTTTTGTAATAAAGATTGATTTTTAAAAAGTAGACAAAGGTGTTAAATTGGATAGATTTTTCAACAAATGCTTATAAACTTCGTAAAGTTTTTGCGCAGAGCCTAAGATTCCGTTAGAACAGAAAACAAAATTGTCATGCAATGCAACACTTGCATAAATAAATCGGATGTTCATATTTATAAATAAAACAATCGAACTAAAATCAGAATAAAACCTGATTCCAATACTATATTTTGTTGAATTTCATTTTATAATCAAACAGTCGTGGGTACGATTTAGTAACGTCATCGAAAGACGCTCTTCAAGATGAGAATGGATCTAGAGGACCTCTTCCTGACGTTCCTGAAGGATATGCTAACTACGTTGCTGGTGAACAGTCACTCTATGTCGAACCATATCTCAAACAAAATGGAGATCACATTCCAGCCTATGAAGTCTACGAAAAACCAGTTTGATTAATTTATCCTCGACAACGTAAATAGCTAATCACTATCAGTGTTAGATTCAGCTTGCTTTTCCCTTTTTTGTACCAATCATGTTAATATTTGTTTTTTGTTAAGTTTACAAAATGTTTAGGCCAACCCGGCCATACACCTTCGCCTAATAATATATTTATTACATTTTTAATTGTTTTAATTTTAATACTATTTAATCTTTAAATGTAAGTTCTTACAACCAGTTATTCCCTTCTGCTTTCTAAATTGTACGTATATTCAATATATAGAAAAGGTATACAATTTCTGTCCTCCCCGATGATGCATTAATTATTGTCCTCAATCCAACATTGATTTGTTTTCTGCATACTTAAATGAAATGTATGTTTATTAGCGTGTTTTGTTCTTCTTAATTTCTCAAGTAAGAATTTGAAAAGCACAATTTTCTCTTGTGTATCAAATGTTTAATATTGAGATCAATTTAAGACGAGGTTAAACCTTTAACGCTTTACACACAATAGGTAGCAGATGTGTACAGTATGATTATATATGTAATTGTTCATGATTTGAAAACTTTTCGTTCTTCAACGTACATGTCCAGGTTATTATCAAAGTGTACGATATTTAGCTCATTGATTACTCTAATACACATGGAATCCATTAATACCCAAAGAGTTATCTGCAATGAAAATAAACAAAACAAAACTTCAACTTAGGAATACTACTTTCATTATTTTCAATCCATTTTTTTTTCTCGAATTCATTTCGATTTCAATTTTCATTTCAGTCCATTCATGTAGCTTTACATATTTGTATTTCACTATTTTAAGTAAAGACTAAATTTTTTTACAGCCCTTGCAAATTTGATGCGTTCTTGTTTTTTCGTAAATCAAGAATAGTAGATGCCCTGGTTGAAATAACGCTTTGTTTATTTGTTTAGATAAAAAGTTTTAATATGTCATATTCTCAAGAAAAATAAATCCATACAAATAGATTGTTCACATGCTTTCTTGTTTTGTTTAAGCGTTATAAGCGTATTAATAATATAGTTGTTAAAGTCATGAATGTGTACCCCTATTATTAAAATTAATCAGTGTTGTCCCTGTATTTTTTTAAGTGGATTTATTTGTAAATAAATGATAATTATGATAATGGTGGCTTCGTATATAGCGCACATATCCGTCACGATGTGACGCTCCTGGCGCTGCCCCGATTATTGAGGAAAAAAAAGCTATTATAAGTAGGTGACATATGTTCAATATATTAAATATGACATATGTATATATATATCCGGAACCGATAGGAAATAATTTGTGTACAAAACTACCTTGGATTTTTTCTTCTGACTCGTTAAATATAAATGCATACATACACCATATAACAATGACGATGAAGGTGCTGATAAGGATAATGATAATGATGATGATAATAAAACTACTAATGTTAATGTTGATGGTAATTATAATAACAATAGTGATGACAATTATGATAATGATACTAATACTGGTAATGAAGATGGTAATTATGATAACAATATTGATAATAAAAATGATAAAAAACCGTAGCTCACAATGTCCTCATTTGTTTAACGGTGAATAAAATATAACGCAGTTTGTTTATAAAAGGTTCATTAATTATAAACAGGGGAAAACAGGAATTATAAAAATCATGAAAACAATGATGATATTAATTGTAACAATAAATGACTAAATCATAATAATACACACTTTTACTAATGTTAATGACCATTATAAAAACAATTATAATAATAGTAATACAAATACAAATAATAATAATACAAGTAATAATATTAATAGTACAAATGCTAATACGAATAAGAAAAATTGAAGAGGATTAAGAACATTTAATAAAAAAAGTGGTTTATCTATTAAACAATGTTTTGCTTTTTATTCGTTACACCTATATATTATAATCTATACTCAGACTTGCACTTCATATGCTACGGAAATGTTATAATGTAATATTGTGTTGTGAATCTACAGAGCATGGTATGAAAATAAATTACTTACATTAGCATAACATTTTTGTATATGAATTTTATTTCCTGTAACTGATTTCGTATGTAACCACCCTAAATACGTTGAGATAATAATTATCATGCGCACTCCAATAGTTTCATCCTTCTTTGCCTTCTGTGAGGTTGAGTTTAAGAATACCCTATACTCGATTTGAATGAAATATATACCTAAGATATCAGAGAAACATACAATCCCAGTGTGAGAGGAGACAGAGACATAGAATTGAACAGTGCGTATCACATGACATTTGTTGGATAAGGTTGGATAAGAACTTCATACTCTGCGACCTTGGAATTTTGTTCACGATAAACGATAACAAATATCCGATGTAAATATATATATTATGTAATACTCTTATTTCACAGAGGACTAAGCATCTACATTTCATTAAAAACCCGTGGTCGACTTTGATAGCCTTTTCGCCATGTTAAGGTTTATACAACGAATTCAAACGTTGGCTTCCTATCAAACTGCACCAAATTATTGTTGTATTCCTAGCAGTCGACCTTAGCTACAGCCTAAACTTGATACAAGAGGATTCTGAAAACATTTGTTGTAAAACATTGGTGCTCATTATTTCGTTGAAGCCTTGTTGTTAATTTGATAGGATTTAAGGGGATATAACTTATTTAAACAAATGCAAGATTACACACGTACATTGTTTTATTTGTTCTCTTTTTTTTCTTGACAGTCGACTAACATTGGTTAACTTAATATCTTCAAAACACTTTTGATAAGGAAGGGTTTTCACTGTATGGTAAAATATATATTTTATGTATAATGCATTTATTGTTTTAAACGTTCTTACCATAATAGCCTCGTTTTTAATATGTTGTTGCAAACGAATTTACCGTAATAACAAAACAATTGTATATACTTTTATCAAAATCAAAACATTTGGAAAATAGGGAATAAATGTATTTAAATATACGGCGTACTATTAATTGCCCAGCTTTCGATGAATGCAATTCATCAAGACTGCATTGCTTGTACATAATAATTATTTAAATTGGTTATCACGTATTATTCCGCTATAAGGGAGATAAATGAACAAAATGACAATAATAGATTTCAGGCAAAATAATTTATTTCTGTTCTTAGCCAGTCATTTTTATCAAAGTAAACTGTTATTATTTATAGAAGAAAAAAATCGTCACTTATCTTTTTTCTACAATGGTATTTTTAAGTTGTCGACATTGATAATAGCACATTTAATCAAGTCAAGTACCAAGTGAAGCGGGCATTAAACTCATGTACGGACCTGATCGGTATTCAGGCTGGGTCCAGGTCAAGCTTACAAGTGGCAGAAGAAATAATCTGAACCCATAAGTCACCGACTTCTCACAAATGGAATGTGTTTACGGCTCGCACGCGGACCTGATAAGTACACAGGCTGTGTAGAGGTTCGAAAGGCAAATGGCGCTTTAAAAAAATTGGACAACGCCAATATAAGACCAACATTAAATGTTACGTTGTTCTACTCAATAATATTGTTCACCTGCTAGCAAATATTCTCAATCGCTCTCCATATCCTTCTCTCTCTGACGAACAACATTCAAACTGTGGCTAACTGCACCAAATTATTGTTGTATTCCTAGCAGTCGATTTCAGATCGATAACTATGGGGTATTTTTTTTTTTTACTCGTACAACCGTAGCTTCAGCCTAAACTTGATACAAGAGGATTCTGAAAAAAATTGTTGTGAAACATTGGTGCTCATTATTTCGTTGAAGCCGTGCTAAAAAATTTGGTGGATTTGAGGGGATATATTTGAAACAAATGCAAGATTACACAAGTGCATTGCTTTATTTGTTCTCTTTCTTTTCTTTACAAACATTGGTTAACTTGATATCTTCAAAACACTTTTGATAAGGAAGGGTATTAATTTTACGGTAAAATATATATTTTATGTATAATGCATTTATTGTTTTAAACGTTCTTACCATAATAGCCTCGTTTTTAATATTTTGTTGCAAACGAATTTACCGTAGTAACAAAACAATTGTATATACTTTTATCAAAATCAAAACATTTGGAAATTAGAGAATAAATGTATGTAAAATATACGGCGTACTATTATTTGCCCAGCTTTCGATGAATGCAATTCATCAAGACTGTATTGCTTGTACATAATAATTATTTAAATTGGTTATCATGTATTATTCAATAAGGGAGATAAATGAACAAAATGACAATAATAGATTTCAGGCAAAATAATTTATTTCTGTTCTTAGCCAGTCATTTTTATCAAAGTAAACTGTTATCATTTATAGAAAGATACAATCGTTACTTCTCTTTTTTCTACAATGGCACTTTCATGCTGTCGACAATGATAATAGCACATTTAATCAAATAAAGTACCAAGTGAAGCGGGCATTAAGCTCACCTACGGACCTGATCGGTATTCAGGCTGGGTCCAGTTCAAGCTTACAAGTGGCAGAAAAAAAAATCTGATCCCATACGTCACTGACTTCATACTTTGTGATTAATATTACGCTAAATGTTTAACACTTCCGATTGTGAGATGATTGATCATGGCAATACTGCATCATCCGTAACCTGTTCTTAGGCGGTTGAGGTTTAGCTAAGAAGGCCAAGTTGGAACTGGATGCGAGGGACTCCTTTTGGCTGGGGAATAGTTTATGTGGAGTGTTTTGGAGGTGGTTAGACAACTAATCCATCCTTTTGTTTTGATGGCTGGAATCAAGAGGCTCTACATTGGACAGGAAGCCATACAAATAATATGACAGCAGGGCACTCACATACGCTTGCGTTGCAGCTGATAACATGCCTTCATATCTCATGTTTTCAGAAGCTAGAAACCTATTATATGAATCTTAAATTCTGAATATTATTCAATATTTATATGGCCTTGTCGGAAGAAGAGCTGCATGGTTGTTTCACTGCACCGAGTTCCCATATTTAGGCACTTACAATTTAAAAAATCTTGATTTGAAATAAGTATGGCTTTAGCCTTACCTCGTAATCTCGCAAATTTTGAACATGAATATTAAGAAGACAAATTAATTGATTCCATTAATTAACATAATTCTGATGTTAACATGAACATTTAAATCCGGCAATTGTAAAATGAAGTGTGTTTACGGCTCGTACGCGGACCTGATCAGTACACAGGCTGGGTAGAGGTCAAAAAGGCAAATGGCGCTTTAAAAAAAATGGACAACGCCAATAAAAGGCCAACATTAAATGTTACGTTGTTCTACTCAATAATATTGTTCACCTGCTAGTACACATTCTCATTCGCTCTCAAATGTATTTCTCTCTCTGACAAAACAACATATACCATTATGACATTTAGCGTGTGTGGTATTTAATTTGATGAATTACAATTCAATAAACAGTTATCTATATAAGAACGGGCAATACGCAGCTCCTTTACCTCATCATTAACCTAAGTAGTTTGATATAGGTTTTCCCTCCCAACTTCCTAAAATGATCAACCAAGTAAACATTTTTGTTCTCAATTTCGTGCGAAATTGAATGAAGGCGTAGATGAACATTCAGAAATTTGGTTTTTCTCATTCAATTTGGTTTTAAGGAGCATACGATTGCATTCAGCAGCTGCGATTTGAGCATTCAATATAGAATTTGATTGAAACACGGCTTAAGTTGTATTTAAACATAAAGGATTTCAGTGACACCAAATTATATGAGGTGGATAAAGGTTAGA